CATCAGCATTGACAAAATCACCACCAGTCAATTGCAAAAGGCAGCTTTACTTGGAACAGCTTATATCCTACGACGATACGTCTAACACCATCAGACAACAACATCTGCCTATCCCAGGTCCTTGGGAAGGACTCAATAGGTGAATAAAAATGCCAAGTCCAGTCTAAACATCTGGCTGACTGTGCAACCAGCCATAACAATAATATAAAGAATGGCTTTTTCCCCCTTCTATCTTGCCATTCTTTCCTATAGAGAAAAGTAAACTGCTGTATTTGGTGTTACGGTGTTAACGTTATGAAGGGGGAAAGCCTAGACGATGTATGCGATGACATCTGGGAGGGAAAAACCACTGTTTCTGCTCTCTTTTCTGAAGAAAAATCCTGGGGTGAGGGAAGGAGGCAACATGCTCTTGAAATTACCCTTCTCAAATATCTAAAAGGAAATGCTTGGAAAGAAAATGACTATTCCCTCTGGAATGTCACTTGTTAATAATAAACAATAATGCTAAAACTGAAAACTTTGCTTCCCGTGTCCTAAGCAGCCTTCTTCAAAGGAGAAGTTGCATATTTTTGGCTCTGCTTGGTAATTTTAGTTTAGCAGCTGAACTAAACATGTCATTACCCCAAACAAGCCATTTGAAAGCTCTGACAGTTTCTTTGTCAATATTTGCAGCTTTTGGACTCTTGGTTCCTTCTTTTCTCTCCCTCCTCCTTCCCATTTCATCTCACTGGTTCTTCTAAGAAATGAACAGCTTTCATTTTGTTCCAGAATTCTGCTGGGTATTTTGTTGTTCTTCTCACACACACATAAATGCCATGGGCTTCTTCTTTCGTGTGCTATGTAGTCCTTTAACCTATAAAACCTAAAGAAGGACCAAACCATCATCATCCTCTCAGCAGACAAAGGCCAAACCACGGTTATCATGGACAGATCACAATACATACAAAAAGCCAAAAAGTTATTAGGGGACAAAGAAACCTACATCCCAGTAAACACCAAGCCAATACAGAAACTAGACAACCTGATCAAGAGAACCCTTAACGACCTAACCAAGAAAAGTCAAATCACAAAAGAAGAACAGCAGCAGATCAAAAGCAGTGGGCCCGTCCTGCCACACTTCTGTAGATGCCCAAACATACACAAGCCCGACATATCTCTTCACCAATTGTATTGTTACTAGGGACCCCAACATACAACACAGCCAAAGAACTTACAAAAAAGCTTGGATGTCTCACAGAGGGGAGTGAATATTCCATCAACATCCTGCTACAGTGCCTCCAGAAAATCAAATACCTAAAAATAGATGAAGATGAAATTATGGTTTCATTCAATGTCATAGTACTCTTTACATCCATAGACCCAGAACTAGCAAAAGAATCCATGGCAGCAGTACTACACAACACACCCGACCTAACCAAATGCACCAAGATTGAAATACCCAGAATCATGGACCTCATCAACTTCTGCCTCACTGCCTACTTTCAGTTTAGTGGACAAATACACCAATAAATCAGAAGAAGACCCATGGGATCGACACTCTCAGGACTCATAGCAGAGACTGTAATTCAGTGTCTAGAAACTATACCACTCCCATGCATACAACCAAAAGTATGGATCTGGGATGTAGATGACACCTTCATCATAATAAAAAAGGAACTAGAGAAGACACATGAAACAGTCAACATCTTCAAAGGAATAACATTCACAAGGGAAGAAGAAAATAACAACACACTACCCTTCCTGGATATCCTCATTAGCAGAGGAAATGATGGCAAATTAGAAACACAAGTCTATCAGAAAATCACCCATGCTAACCAAGTGCTCCATTACCAACATAACAACCGAACCTCCCACAAGAGGAGCTGTGTAAGAATATTATTCAGATGAGCACAAATCCACTGCAGCAACCCAGAACACCAGAAAAAGGAAACAGATTGCCTATACAACATCTTCCAACAAAATGGATACCCACACAACCTTATCAAAAAGTGCCTGACCGCTCAACCCACTACAGCACAACCAACGCAAGCTATGAAAAGGATAACACTGCCATACATCATAAACATCTCAGAAACAACCAGCAGATTATTACAATCACATGGCATCTCCATAGCACACAAACCAACTAAAGTCCTCCAAAACATCTTAAGTAAACCAAAAGACCCAGTAACCCAAG